TGTGTAACGCTTTATTAGACCAGATGCATAAATTTCATCACAGTCATCTTCCAAATCATTAATTTCTTGCAAAGGTTTCAGTAACTGAACTCTATCCTCAGGAGGTGAAGTATTTATAAATACTACTTGACGAGAAGATTTCCTCATTGAAAGTTGAAGTACTATATAGACTGCTTCTTGTGCACTTATTTCAACATTGTTTAAAAACTTATTTCCAATATCTCTCACTTGTTGTTTAATACTGGAGTTTCCCCTTTTCGCTTCTTCACAAGCTGTTCTCAATAGCTCACTCATGCCTTTTTGAGCCTTGGATATATACGATACAATGTATATTGCACATGCATATACATCTAGTACAAATTGAATATCCATATTTGCACGCCATGCACTGAGACAGGCAGCATTATAATTATTGATCCTTAGTTCATTTGGTTTTCTTCTTAAGAATATAGTTGGTGTCTTGAGACTAGATTGAACAGCTAGCAAATAGTTCTGTTCTGTCAGTTTAAGATTTAAAAGTAACTGATCAAATGTAATATTGTCTTCACCCTCTTTCATATCATTCAGATGTTTCTTTAAAAATTTCCAAGTCTCTTTATGTTGATCAACTTCATTATCATCCATATCAATATCTAATGGATATAGAATTTTGGTTGACCTCATAGGTGGCTGTGGGTAATTAAAACGACACACACTTTTGGATTTCTTTCGACATGTGTGAGAATTAATGACGATGAACTTGCCTGTTTACAAGTGCAAGTAAATCTGGATTCTCAGTTGGCTTTTCACATGTGATTATCTTATCAATGAATGAAACAACATCACAATCAGAGTCTTCTCCGAATGTAGGAGCATTTTCCAGCCATATTAACATGTGAATATGAGGTGACCCTCTTTGTTGATATTCAACCCTATAGAACCAGTCTGCAATTTTTCCTAGAGGTGCAGCACTACTTAAAAGGAAGTTTTGCAAAAACATGTGCACTTGATAATCAAAATGCCTGGCACATGTCACAGGATCGCTCTGAATTAACCTAGTTTTCTCTTCCCAATTGAGGTTCTCAAGTTCAGTGTCAGTATATGTTTTGTTATCAACAAGTTTACCAAGTATTCTCAGTAAATGAGTCCATTGTGTTTCTGCTGAAGAAAAACTACAAAATAAGGAAGCAGATCCCAACTGCCTGATCATTGCAAATATATCTTTCTTGGCTTTTTCAAAATATGCAGGTGAACCCCTTACAGCTCTAAGAAATTTAAATCCTTGATCCTGATGAATCATGTTATCTAATGCACCCGGTTGTTTTAGTTGACCGGCAGTGATTGTGTTACTATTTCGTTGACATTTTCTCAATGCAACTTGTGATTGCCCAAGCAAAATTTTCATTTGCAATTTCTTTGTTTTAAAGAAAATATTTTCCACACACATTGCTGCCCTTCGGTCAGACCTTCTTAATTCAGATTTACAAATTTCACTATAATGGACTTTGGTTAGTCTATTTGTATTGTCTGGTCGCTTCTGTCCAAGAAATATACCAGGATATGCTAATTCCTCTGAGTATTTATCTCTAAATATACTCATAGGCCTATTGCCCTCACCAGGTGCAACATTTAAAATGTGTTGACGTTCATTATCAGTGACAAAATCTGGAGATGTTAACATAGTATCAGTGATTCCAGCAGGTATTTCTGCCTCGTCTTCACTCCAGTTTTCATCATCATCACATGCTGATGATTGCTGAGTTTTACATTCTGTATCACAATTCAAGCTTTCTGCATTATAGTCCACAACATTTTCTGAACCCCCTGAAGTTTGATCATTGTCACTATCATCAAATAACATTTGAGTATTTAAATTATCTTCAAGCCAAGTGTCATTGAAAGTTATACCTTCATCTTTATAAAGGTTACCATTATTTACAAGCCATTTGGCAGCTTCTACTACTTTATTTGGTCTGACATTTAGTGATAAAGCTGAACTTTTGTATTGCAATCTTCTCTTAAGATTAACTTTAATTGTGCTGGTCTCATTTGGAAACCTTGGCAACATGTTAACAGTATTAACAACATCTGCTGGAACATTAACAATGTTTCCATTGATTTTTAGTTGCTTACCTCTTGGAGCCTGCATTAATTTTTGAAATGCAAGTCTTGGAGCAAGCAATCTACACTCTAATTCATTTAGATCGAAAAACGAAGGTTTTTCTGGAAACTGCAGCCCATTTACGGCAGCACAAGGAGGCACCTTATTGTTTTTTAGATGCTTATTACAGGTTTTACACAACCACTCGACATTGTTAACGCTTTTTCTATTTAACAATCTTTTTTGAACATCAGGATTATTTTCTTTAAGTGTTGTGACTGGAATGACACTATGCTTGTACCATAACTGGTCACAACAAGTGCAAATATAAAGAGGACCTTGTGAGACGAGATTATGAAATTTCGATATTAAACTTTGTAGTGGTTCAATCTCACAATGTTTTAGTTTCCTATATTCCTGTGCATACAGTCTTTTCTTTTGCTTAGCCTCATCTCTCATTGTTGAGGGCTGGGAACTCTCACTGGCCTGTTTATGTTTCCTGTATTCCTTTGCATACAGTCTTTTCTTTTGCTTAGCCTCAATGCTCAGTGGTGAGGTCTGGGAACTCTTACTGTCCCGTTTACGTTTCCTGTATTCCTTTTCATAAACTCTTCTCTTTTCCTTAGCCTCAGGGCTCTGTATCTCATTAGCTCGTTTTTGTTTCATGTATTTCTTCATGTACTGTGTTCTTGTTTGCTTTATAGGCCGAGAACTCTGGGTCGACTGTTCAGGATTTATCTCAACAAAACCTGACATTGAAGTAGATGGCAAAGTTGATACATAGTGATACTCATCTATATGACCCAAATAGACATGAGTTAGTTGCTGTGTTAACGATACAGGTTGTATTATGCTGTACTCACAAAACCCTTCATGTGTCTCTGCAATAGTAATTTTTAACTTAAGCTGATCAGCCACAGCTTGTATTATCATAGCATCACTCCATGTCCCTTGCATACACATATTATTAAGGTATTCTAACCAAGAGATTTCAGTATTACTTTCAATGAATCTCTCAGGATTATCTCTCATATATGCAATACCAGCTGCTCTAACTTCAAAGTGTCGTTCTGGGTCACCATATAATTGATGTGACACAGCTCGAAAGAAACAGTCACCATCACCACCAACATCAAATGGTCTTAACTGAAAGCGTCTTAACCTTTGTTTTAACACTACATTAGATGACAACCTAGTTGGACTGTTGTTTTGAACAGGACCAGGATTTAATTCAATATCTCCTGACAACATTAGAGTCCTTTGAGATATGTGATATTGTTCATTGGCAATATTGCCTGCTATGGTTTGACTGTTTAACATATTACACAGTGATTGTTTTGCCATATATATGTTTTTGTGAACTAAGTTGACACTTGGCTTAAAATATCCAAATGAATTGATAAAAATACGTTGCAATTGCACAAATTGAAAACAACATTGCTTGAAATTACTAGCTATTTTGTTCAAAATGGATGACTTTGGGGCAGTTCTTAGAAAATAATGCTTTAAAAATGATCTATTTTTTCTCTTTCTCACAGCCAATATAATTCTCTTTAAAGGCAATCTGGACGGGGCACGGTCTCTAGATCGTTTAGCATTTGCTTGCTTAGTTAATTTCCGTACAGTCGATCTGCAACAACATGCACAGTGATCTGAATTTGTACACTTAATATAGCTACTATGAGTACGGTATAAATGTGCAATGTTATATCTATTTTGCTCCTGAATTACTTCTGATCTCCGAAGAGATTGATTTGTTCTCCGAAGAGATTGTTTTGATCTCCGAAGAGATTGTTTTGATCTCCGAAGAGATTTATTTGATCTCCGAAGAGATTGTCTAGTTCTCCGAAGAGATTGTTTTGATCTCCGAAGAGATTGTTTTGATCTCCGAAGAGATTGATTTGTTCTCCGAAGAGATTGTTTTGATCTCCGAAGAGATTGTCTAGTTCTCCGAAGAGATTGTTTTGATCTCCGAAGAGATTGACTACTTACCAGATGAGTATAAGTTTCCATGTTGATAGATGACAACAATGTAAATGGCGAGAATTTTTGTAAATGGCGAGAATTTTTCAGCAATCCAAGGTATTTTTGAAGCCAAAAATGAAAATCCAAAATGGCGAACACAATAAACACCTGATAACACGAGGCCCAACAATGCCCGTTCGCAGGTGCGGACACGATGTAAGCTAATCGCTGATTGGCTTATATTGGACTAATTATATAAGCCCGTCGGTGAATGGCTATGTGCTAACACACGGTACGGTACGCGCACGATAGCAATATATCTGCGTTCGCAGATACAAAAAGTTAATCAGTGTATAATTGTATATAAATGCTTATAAATTTTAAAACTTTTGTATAGTGCAACGGTCGTTATTGATCTAGCTTTTTTAGTTCCTTTTGTATTCTTTCGATCTTTTAATTTTAAAAATTTGGTCCAGTTTCGGGATCATTCATATTGGTAGGCATGATATCTCTTGAAGAATGATTCGATTGGATATTATACCTTATTGTATTACTTATATATAATAAACGTAATATGACACCAACTCCGGTTAACTCGAACCCCCGGTAACTCGAACAATTTTCCTTTCCCTTAGGGAGTTCGAGTTAGCGAGGAACTATTGTATTTTAAACGCGCACTCAAACTTGTTGAGTGGGAGTCATAACATTTCCATGGCGGTATTTCCACTCGAAAAAGAGCTTAATTTTCAGTGTTTTTCGTTAAATCTTTGTATCGATTAAGAAATAACTTTCTCTGTGATCGGTAATGACAAAATTTGTATGTCACACTCAATGATTGTGAGTGTAACACAGCCTACAGGCGAGAGTGTGGATAAGGAAGAATTACTGATAATCGTTTGATATTTATCTGTTTTGAGAGCATAATGTCCGAAATTTTTGTATTCGGTGTTTATAGACAGAAATTTGAGTTTCTGCAGAGATCGTTTATGAAAGTATGGGTTAATGTTTGTCGCAGATAAACTACCCGAGGTAGAAGTATTAGCAACATCTAGTCAAGAATTGTGTGACAGGCAGAAGATGATTGGATCTTGCCAGTCACGGAAAACCTTTGAATACGTACAATCCAGAAAGTCAGTTTATACAAGACCTTCGAGAGAAAGGTGAGTGTACTTTCTGACGCTGTTGAAATACTATCTTTATTTGTGTTTAGAATCTTAACAATCACGACTGCCGTAGAACATTCTAAATCTACTGAATTAATTGAAACGTATAGATTGTGATGTAACCCAACCACTGTCAGTTGTTAGACCATATATAGAATGCATATCCCTTGCTGTTCTGATCCACCTAAAATAGCGTGATATAGCTATGACGCCTGTCTATGGAGATATATTTCATTCAAACCCGTTCACAATTTGTAAATTACGACCATTTTCAAAACAGTAAATTGATTGCGGCTGGAAAACTTCTCATCAACATTTCTCATCAACACATAACAAACCCTTAATTCACTTCATAAAATTCTGAATGATTTAGTCATGATTTGAATTTTAAACGTTTTCCTTTTTTTTCAGAAGTCCCTGGTATGAAAAAAGTAGTATCGTCATCTGAAGGATTACACACCAAACTACGTCAAGCTGCTCAACGGAAAAATGGATTAACAAAAGAACGCAAACAGTTGATTAAAATGGGAAATAAGCTGAGAGCTGAATTGTTGAAATATAAAGATTTTGAAGGGATATTTTGGAATATCTATTAAGATGGCATTAATATATATATATATATACGTTAGTCCAAATAGATTACTGTAAGAATGAATTGAATACATTTTTCCTTTAATCATGACGCGTAGCTTCTGTTGTTCGCAAAAGACTAACTGCATGTGCAAAGAGATCCCGCGATGATTACGTCACTACCGCATGTAGGGTAGTGACACGTGACCGGGCTCCAGAACACCGCGGAAAAACGTCTGGGCAAACGCCGGTCGGTTATAAGCATATGGCGAAAAACTTCAATTGGAACTGTTGAAAGAAAACATGCAAGTTAATTGATAAGATATAAGTTAAACATGTACTTGAAAATGTACCGAAAACGGGTGGACTAAACATTCGCTTAATGCGTCCTTGCATTAAGATATGAAATAAAATTGTTTTGCAGAGCGTCTTTAAAACATTTTTGATAAATTGTTAAGAACAAAAGTTTAAACCTATATAATAGAAGTTGAGAAAAACTACAATGAATCTGAATTACCATTTTCCTCAAATTTTAATTTGTGACCTGTGAAATCAGACTTGACTTCATTAAAAATACAAAACAATCGCACCGTAAACATTTGCTTCACCTGGGCCGCATATAACTAGCTTATTGTGAAATAACGCTGTTCCTTTTCTCAATGGTCTCCATACCTGTGATATTATACCGGGTGCCCAAAAAAAGTACCTGTTTTTAATTCAACATAACTTGTAAGGAAACTGAAGAATTGCAATCAAACAATCCATATTAAGTGGAGTAATGTCTAACTTAAAGTTTGATATATTACATATGAAGTTTGAACGAGTAGTGTCTGAGATATTTGCGTTTAAAGTTGTAGCAACGTTTTGAAACTTGTCAAAAATCAGGAAAAAATGGCCTATAAAACTTGTTTCAACAATACCGGTTCGTAACATGGTATCTTGTAACTTATTTTTTAGTTGTTTTTTTAAAAATCGTTTTTTACTTGCTCTAATTCATCTGCAAATTCATGTCCACCAGCAGCAACGCACTTTCTTGCCCGTTTCAGCATGCTATCAAAAGACCTTTGAATCATGTGGGCGTCCAAATAGCGACATGACCTAACAATCGCCTCGCGAAGATCTCCCAAGTTTTGAAGTTGTTGGTCATGAGGAACTTCCCAAATCTGCTGTTTAAATAGCCCCAGATGAAGAAATCACACACGGTCAGGACAGGGGAGTGTGGAGGCCATTGCCAATCGCCGCGTTTACTCATGAGTCGACCAGGAAATTGCCCCTGTAGATATCGGATTGTTGCATTTAACAAGCCATTATTTGCTGATTTTTGACACATTTCAAAACGTTACTGTGTCTTTAAACGCGAATATCTCGGAAACTACTTGCTCAAACTTCATATGAAATATATCAAACTTTAAGTTAGACATTACTCAACTACACATTGGTTATTTTATTGTAATTCTTTAGTTTGTTTTTATGTTATGTTGAATTAAAAATAGGTACTTTTTTGGGACACCCGGTAGCGTAAGCACAAATGAATCAATTAGGTTAAAGCCACGAATAAGATTCATGTTTGTGCGTTTTAGACAAAATAGAAATCATCATCATCAAAGCAAACGTATTTAAACTTACGTAAAATCCTTCGAAAAAAGGTTGTGTAAAATAAAAAATTAGGTAAAAATAAAACAGTGTAGTGACACTCCTGAAGTTCTACTGGGGTAGTGGTGAACGCAATGCTCTCCCATTTTTAAAACTTGGGATTCGAGTCCAGGAACGTCTGAATCTGGTTCGAATCTTACCATAACCGTTTTTTCATTATGAACTTCGTGAAAAAGATAAAGAAAATTAAATAATCCTAGCCGTTCAGCACATGATCTCGTAGTCTAGTGGTGAAGGCAGTGGTCTTCCAAATGGTAAATCGATGATTCGAATCTTATTACAACCGTTTTTTCATTATGAACAACGTGAAAAAGATAAAGCAAATTAAATAATTATAGCCCTTCAGCAAATGATCTTGTAGTCTAGTGATGAAGACAATGGTCTCCCAAGTGGTAAATCGATAGTTCGAATCTTACCATGACCGTTTTTTCATTATGAACTTCGTGAAAAAGATAAAGTAAATTAAATAATCACAGCCCTTCAACACATGATCTTGTAGTCTAGTGGTGAAGGCAATGGCCTCTTAAGTGGTTAGTCGATGGTTTGAATCTTACCATAACCGTTTTATCATCATAAACGTCGTGAAAAGATTAAAGAAAATCAAATATTAAATAGCTGTTCGGGACATGATCTCGTAGTCTAGTGGTGAAGACAATGGTCTCCCAAATGGTAAATCGATGGTTCGAATCTTACCATACCCGTTTTTTTCATTATGAACTTCGTGAAAAAGATAAAGTAAATTAAATAATCATAGCCCTTCAGCACATGATCTTGTAGTCTAGTGGTGAAGGCAATGGTCTCCCAAGTGGTAAGGCGATGGTTTAAATCTTACCATAAATCGGTAGTTCGAATCTTACCATAAATGTTTTTTCATTATGAACTTCGTGAAAAAGATAAAGTAAATTAAATAATCATAGCCGTTCAGTACATGATCTCGCAGTCTAGTGGAAAAGACATAGGTCTCCAAAATGGTAAATCGGTAGTTCGAATCTTACCATAACCGTTTTTTTATTGAACTTCGTGAAAAGGTTAACGTAAATCAAATAATCCTAGCCGTTCAGCACATGATCTGGTAGTCTAGTGGTGAAAACAATGGTCTCCCAAGTGGTAACTCGATGGTTCGAATCTTACCATAACCGTTTTTTCATTATGAACTTCGTGAAAGATATAGTAAATTAAATTATCATAATTGTTCAGCCCATGATCTCGTAGTCTAGTGGTGAAGACAAAAGTCTTCTTAGTGGTAAATCGATGGTTCGAATCTAACCATAACTGTTTTTTCATTAGGAACTTCGTGAAAACGAAGAAGTTAGTTAAATAATCATTGCTGTTCAGCACATGATCTTGTAGTCTATTGGAGAAGACAATGGTCTTCCAAGTGGTAAGTCGATGGTTCGAATCTTACCATAACCGTTTTTTCATTATGTCCTTCGTGAAAACGTTAAAGTAAATCAAATAATCTTAGCCGTTAAGCACATGATCTCGTAGTCTAGTGGTGAAGACAGTGGTCTGCTAAATGGTAAATCGATGGTCCGAATCTTATCATAACCGTTTTTCATTATGAACTTCGTGAATTAGATATAGTAAATTAAATAATCATTTTCGTTCAGCACATGATATCGTAGTCTAGTGGTGAAGAAAAGAGTCTCCGTAGTGGTAAATCGATGGTTCGAATTTTACCATAACCGTTTTTTCATAATGAACTTCGTGAAAAATATCAAATTAATTAAATAATCATAGCTGTTCAGCACATGATCTTGTAGTCTAGTGGTGAAGACAATAGTCTCCCAAATAATAAATAAATGATTCGAATCTTACCATAACCGTTTTTTCATTATGAAATTTCTAAAAAGATAAAGTAAATCAAATAATCAGAGCCGTTCAGCACATGATCTCGTAGTCTCGTGGTGATGACAATGGTCTCGTAAGTGGTAAGTCGATGGTTTGAATCTTACCATAACCGTTTTTTCATTATGAACATCGTGGAAATGTTAAAGTAAATCAAATAATCCTAGCCGCTCAGCACATGATCTCGTAGTGTAGTGGTGAAGACAATGGTCTGCCAAGTGGTAAATCGATGATTCGAATCTTACCATAACCGTTTTTCATTATTTCCTTCGTGAAAACGTTAAAGTAAATAAAATAATCTTAGCCGTTAAGCACATGATCTTATAGTCTAGTTGTGAAGACAGTGGTCTGCTAAATGGTAAATCGATGGTCCGAATCTTATCATACCCGTTTTTCATTATGAACTTCGTGAAGAAGATATAGCAAATTAAATAATTATTCTCCTTCAGCACATGATCTTGTAGTCTATTGGAGAAGACAATGGTCCCCCAAGTGGTAAGTTGATGGTTCGAATCTTACCATAACCGTTTTTTCATTCTGAACATCGTGGAAAGGTTAAAGTAAATCAAATATTCATAGCCGCTCAACGCATGATCTCATAGATTAGTGGTGAAGAAAATGGTCTCCCAAGTGGTAAATCGTTGAGTTGAATCTTACTATAAGTGTTTTATCATCATGAACTTCGTGAAAAGGTTAAAGTAAATCAAATATTAATAGCCGCTCAGCACATGATCTCATAGTCTAGTGGTGAAGTCAGTGGTCTCCAAAATGGTAAAGCGATGGTTCGAATCTTACCATAACCGTTTTTTTATTATGAACTTCGTGAAAAAGATAAAGTAAATTAGATAATCATAGCCGTTCAGTACATGATATCGCAGTCTAGTGGAAAAGACAATGGTCTCCAAAGTGGTAAATCGGTAGTTCGAATCTTACCATAAATGTTTTTTCATTATGAACTTCGTGAAAAAGATAAAGTAAATTAAATAATCATAGCCGTTCAGTACATGATCTCGCAGTCTAGTGGAAAAGACATAGGTCTCCAAAATGGTAAATCGGTAGTTCGAATCTTACCATAACCGTTTTTTTCATTATGAACTTCGTGAAAAGGTTAACGTAAATCAAATAATCCTAGCCGTTCAGCACATGATCTGGTAGTCTAGTGGAGAAGGCAATGGTCTCCCAAGTGGTAACTCGATGGTTCGAATCTTACCATAACCGTTTTTTCATTATGAACTTCGTGAAAAAGATCAAGTTAACTAAATAATCATAGTTGTTCAGCACATGATCTTGTAGTCTAGTGGTGAAAACAATGGTCTCCCAAATTGTAAGTCAATGGTTCGAATCTTACCATAACCGTTTTTTCATTATGAACTTCGTGAAAGATATAGTAAATTAAATTATCATAGTTGTTCAGCACATGATCTCGTAGTCTAGTGGTGAAGACAAAAGTCTCCTTAGTGGTAAATCGATGGTTCGAATCTAACCATAACTGTTTTTTTATTAGGAACTTCGTGAAAACGAAG